AATTGATTTCTGCAAGTAAATATTATTCAGAAACAACTTTGTGAAAGAGAAGTAGCTTTTCTGACTCTGGGGAACCAGGTACACACATATGTTCATTCTATACCAACTTACCTAGCTACATCAAACGATTGTGCCTTTTGCAGTTTTGCATTTAGCTGCGATCCTGGACCAGATCTACTAAAGGAAGAACTCTTTGGCAATGTGGCTGTAAATAAGAGAATACATGTACTTATTAGTATTAGCGTTTTAAACTGTAGAATTTCAATGACATTAATTTAGTTTCTAACATCAAATACAAGCATTATGGTTCTTTTGATGGTATCCCTTTCAAAAATATTAAGATAAGTCAACAATGTCTAACAAAACAGAAGAAAACTCACAGGCACTTCTCTCATGTCTTTTTACTTTTGCATTTTATGCAAACACTGCTGATATCAAATTATATTGTGATTAATGTTAGAAATCATATGTATTCCAGTATTTTAAAGTAATCCCAACAAACAGCAGTACCTCAATAGTTATAAATAGATAGGAGAGGACAAATTTCTAAGCAACAGTTATTGGCAAGCTAGATTTATCATACTGCTGTTATAACAGGGTTAATATTTTGCTCAACATGACTGACTGTTACAGTACAGTATGTCCATATTTCTTCTTTTAACTTTTATAAAAGTTTGCTAACCAATTACATTGGGCTAAACCAAAGTACAGTCCTTATCCAAAGTAATTCTTTAAAGTAAGTTAGAATAGCTAATTTCATGTCTACTGTTCTCTGGATCCAAATCAAATGGCAAAATAATTTGTTAATAGCAAGAGAGTAAACAGAGTCTCAGTATGTAGCGTACCAGGATGAGCAAAAGCAGGCAGAGGCTGTATAACAGCAGGAGCTCCATTAGCCAGGGGAGGTACTGCTGCTGCAGGAACAGAAGATACTAATGGTGGAGACATTCCTACTACTGGAATAGATGCCATTGGCACTGGGGCAACAGTTGTAAGAGATGGCATGCTGGCAATGCCCCCAATACCTACGGGCAAGAAAAGGAGATATTTTTTCTAATTTAGAGACTCCTAATATGATACAACAATTTAACTGCAGCCTGCAACCCAGCAATAAATGCAGAATTAAAAAGCCAATTGAAATGGAAACTTACACACACCCTTTGAAAGAACCCTTACAGTCCACTGCACCATTAGCATGGAAGAGGAACATAAAACAATGCAGAGGGAACAACATACCACTTTATGCATATAAGATCACACTGGATGCAACACTGAGTAGAAAAGTCTATTAGCATTAGCTGAAGAAAATAATTGTTTGCCTTGAACTAAATGAAGAACAGCACTGTCAACTTCAAGTGAGTAATGAACCCAAAGCCTACATTTAACCACAGCTGAAAAGAACAAGCTTCAGGATAACTGCTTGCTGCCTATTGTCAAGATGAAACAGTGCAAAGCTAATAGGGTAAAGCACAGTAATGAGGTGTAAGCACAGTTACATGGATAACAGGAAGGTTAAGGAGGTCCAGTCATGCCAATGGGAAGAATGAGGCTGTGTGCAAACAGCTGAGATCAAGTCTACAGAGAATGAGAAAAAAGAAAATCACAGATTTTGCTGGTTTTCCTGGGAGTTTGACTTTATTATGCCTTTTCTCGCTTAAACCAGCATTTTTTCTGTTCAATTTCACTGATTTCTTACAGTCAGAAATAAAAATGTTTGTAAAACTTGTGGAAGAGACAACTGATCAAACAACATGGTTGCACACAGTTTATCAAAAGCACTATTCCCTTTTCTTAAGTGATTCTCAGGCATCAATCAACTTGAGTCACAGCAACAACTAAAACAGAAAGGTAGAAAACCTCTCACTACGGAACACAGCAGAACATCAAAGTGTCAAACATGCAGCTCAGCTTCATTTAGTTATTTTCCTCTCACTACCCCATTCTCCCTACTCTTTTCCTCAAAATGATGGCAACCTTGGCTGTACTAATCCAGGAGAACTGAATCAGCAGCTGGTCTAGCTAATACCAGTGCAGCACTATTCATAAAATAAAAGCAGAGGGGCACATCACTAGAATGATTTGTAAAAAGTCAAGAAAAGCATGGCTAATCTTGCCAAAGCTAGAGATCCCTTAATGAAAAATAGAGATAAATAACAATTGTTTAAATAAAAACTCCATCACTTTGGAATGTACTAGCCCTGCTACCTGACCCATCCTTTTTCCCTGCAAACACTTTAGTTTGGAACATACAAGGAGCAGTGTAAAACCTGAAGGAAACAGGACCACAGTTTATGTTATTCAGTACAGCTGAGTGCTAAAAGCTCATTGAGATTTTTTTGGGAGCATGTTCATGCATGTAGAAGCATTTGGTTTTGAGTCCATGAACTTTTATAAGTACATTTTCCTAAAAGTTTATTTTAGAAACTGCAAAATGACAATCAAATTCAACTAAAGTTGACACGATACCAGCTAGCACAGAGGAAAACAAAGAGCTTACCAAATCCTGGTGCACTAGGCAGAGCAATAGGTGGCTGCTTCATGACAGGAGGCAGTGCAGATGGGAGCTGATAACCTTGTAGTTTTAATTTGATAAGTTTCATAGCTATTGAAAACTCCAACTGATCCATCCTCCCATCATTGTTCATGTCAGCTAGAGCCCTACAAAATAAGTGATTTTCACAGTTAGATTTTTAAATTATGAACTTCAGAAACTGATCTAGGAGCATGCACACAAAGGCATGTATATTCAAGACTAATTAATTTCCACCCAAAATAATTATGCCAGGTTAAAAATGGTCATGAAACAAGACAGTATTTAAATTGAGAGCTTCTTGGTTTCTTTCTAGGAGTGATTAATAAATACGTTTAAAGTCGCTTTTCAATTCTCAGAGGAATTACAGTGAAGCATCAAGAGAAGAAGGAATAATGTAGTTCTACAAAAACTCTGTAAAATCACACAAACATGGTACTACAAACAGCACCACAGGAAATCAAATTACGTAGTCTGCAAATCTATGCTTTAGCTACATTTAAAATAAAATGTTCTTTAAACACGTAACAACACAAAGGACACAAGAAGTCTAGTTAAACTAGAGCTTTATTTCTGATCAAATCCCTGTCAAGGAAAGCTTTCATGCAAGTATGTGAAAAGTTATCAAAGAAGTACTGCAATAAATTAACAGTTACTTATAACTTATGCTTAAATAAGTAGACAACCAAGCTAATGTAGTGGCAAAGCATTTACAAAATGAAAACCCTCCCACCCCAACCAAAAAACCCTAGGAAAACTCAACAAAGAGGCAGATCCCAGCACGGGTTGCCACAAGTCAACCATACGTCTTAAGAGTTCCCCCTGATTTAGATCACCAGTAGCATTTCCCCAAGAACAGAGAAACTCCAACCCCAATACTACTAAGACCACATTTTCAGTGGTGTATCTGTCTTAATCCATCAATTTTGATGTCACGAGGCTAAATAATACTACTGAAAATCTGGCAGCAGTATTTAAAGAATGAGACTCTGAGGCTTACAGTTAAAAAGAAAAGTAGGCATTGCACCAGTCCCTGAAAGATGTTGAATTACTACATATCTATTTAATTGAAGAACAAGTTTTGGCTGTGGGAACTTCTAGGTGTTGTTTCCTGAAGCTTCACATCACAGGGAAATTTAATTTACACATAAAATCTGCCTGCTTCTCAGTAACTTTAAACCTCCCTCTAATCCCATGTCCTGGGCTCAGCTGAGACAGAGTTAACTTTCTTCATAAACCCATTATATCCCATAACCAGCAAGTCTTCGGAAGCCTAAATTTAGTCAAAACTGATTCTGGGACCCACAAAGCATAATGTGATTTGGATTCAAGTTTCAGTTATGTGGTTCATTGGACAAATAATCAGTTAAAAAGATCCTACTGTAGCAGTCGGACTTGATATATGGTAGCTCAACCAGCAGAAGGAAGAAGGAAGGGCAGCATGGCAAACCTAGACCAAGAGAAGTACCAATTTGGACTGGGTATCTCCTCTTCCTTGCAGAACACCACTGCTCTAGAGTCTCAGCTTCTGATCACTCTTCCATGAAGAGCAAGTAACACACTGGTACCTCCTGATGCATTGTCAGGCTAAGTTGAAGTGGAAAATGTAACGTTTTTATCTTCACACAACTTGCAGAGATGAGTGGGAGAACCCTAGTGAAGGCAGAGAAGCCTCTCTCCTATGAGTATTAAATGACAGCAAGGACTGATGGCAATAGCAGTTAATGAAAAAATGTATATTTGAAAATGAGAGGTAAATTGCTTCTAGAAAATAGTTAAAAGCAAAAAGTAGGCTTCTCACATTTTTTATTATTCAGGTTATCCATGTTCTGTTTATTCTGAAGCACAAAGGCTTGCTCTGGATATAAAAATACAAAGTTTATTAGCTTCCATCGTGTCTTTCTGTTCAGTGGGGTGTACACGTCACAAACCACTATATGCAAGGCTGTAAACAGGCTGCATGCACATAGTACGTAGTACTTTTCCTCCTATACAATGAAACTGGTATAAATCTCAAAAAGACATGTTTGCATCCATCTAAAATTTTCTCTACATAAGAAATGTTTATATCAACTTAAAATTCCTGTAAAAAGCCCAAATTTATTTTGAAGCATTCACAGTTTAACTATGACAATTAAGAATATATTTTCTGTCTATTTTTCAACAACAGCATGGAAGTGTCCCATAACATGCTGTAGAATTTTTGCTGCACAAAATCATCCTCAGGCTTACAAGGAACAGTATTACTCAGTACATTTTCATTTTCTTCTTCATACACCTTCTACTTTTTACAATCTAAACAGTTCATATAACATCCGTTAGTCACCACCTATGAACAGTGATATTAGATTTCTAAAAGTCTCACTTGGGAGAAATACATGCTGCAAGTCTTACAAACCCAAAATATTCAAGAGGCAAAAGCTATTTGAAGTGTCAGAATGTCAGAAACTTAACGGCTAAATGTATTTTCTGAAGTGCTTCCTTTTGTGGGTTTTGCACTAGAAAGTAAACCAACATCCAGTGAATGAATACTGAGGGTAAGAAAGCCTCATTAGAAACTTAGAGAGTATTAAGAACCATAGAAACCAGCAGCAGATAATTAGCTTCATTTAATTGATGCTTACAAGCAGACACCACACCCTTTTGAAAGCAACTAAAGAATATTCAAAAATATTCAAGAGGGAAAATGTGTGGGGTTTTTAACAAAAGTTCAGTTCAACACTTGCTTAGCCATTCTTCTGTCATACCGCAGTGGAAACAGGCAGTAAAAACCACGCTTATATAGCCAGTAGGCTGAGGATGTGCATAGGAACAAAGCTAGGGAAATTGATCTGGAAAAACCTCTAGATTTTTGACTGCACCCATAGCAGTGAATGGTCCTCCCAAAGATGACTCCACCCTCAACATATGGAGAAGTGACCAGCTGGCACTGACTACTCAAATAGTCACAATGTTCCTTACATCTTTGCATTTCAGCAAAGTAATTACACAAATTGTATATAAGTCTTACTTATTCAACCTAAGTGGCTTCTACACCTGCAAATACTTTGATTCAGA